TCTCCCTTCTCTTGTGCCAAGTGATTTCAGGAAACAAGCCAACAAAGCTGAGACGCTACAGGAACAAAACAAGCCTGTTCTCAGGACTAGCTTCTGTCTGATCATCCCATCCACCTGCCAGACAGGCGATACTGCAAGGTTTTGTCTTGTATTGGATTGCTTGATACTAGCGAGTCACCTAAAATCCATCACGTCATTCTCTTCATGTTATTTCTCCTTCATTTGCTGTCTGAATTTACAGTCATTCATCATTAAGAGATCTCTGAGGACGTGCAGAGAGCAGTTTGACAAACTCAAGGCAAACCAGTTCAGCTTTTTAGTCTCTCAGCCTGCAATGCGCTCAGCAAGTACAACTCCAACAGTGACTAACATCACCTGCTTGCTGGGGCAGTAATACCCATTCCTCCTCTCTATTAGCATCTCTTTCAAACATCCTGCCCTGCAGGCTCCTTATTTGACGAAAACGGCCCACAACCACCCAAGCGCTGGGGCAACCATGGGCTTGATCCTACCTTTAGGAGAATGCTCAGGTCTGGGGATCTGGCGCAAGGGGCTGGGCTGGCTTGTGTAATACCGAGGGTGTTCAAAGTCATCGAGGAGAGGCTGTGACCTGCCAAGCACGGTGAAAAAGAAGTGTTGGGAAAAAACTTCAAAGGCGTAACATCGTGGCAAAAAGCAACATCTCAGCTGCCTGGTCTGTCCCGGTCAGTTTGATGCAAACTGTGCTTGGCCCAGACCTTCCACCTGTATACCAGCTCCGCTAAGCACAGACCATTACTGTTTCTGTGGTGAGAGGCGCACAGTATTTACTGCTCCTCACGGACCGCTTTCATTTAATAATGGTTTCAAGTTGTCAGGAAACAAAGAATTTCCATTATGAAGTTTGATGCAAACCTCACTCAAAAGAGCAACATTTTGAAGTGTTTAATGCTTGCCCAGTTTTAACCCCCGAGTATTTTAGTAAGATGTCACTCAGTCTCCACCTGTACACTTAATTTCTTGTTTCTTTTGCAAATTCAACAAGAATTTCTAGGCTCATCTCTGGCTTGGAAATCAAAGCCACCAGGGTCACTTCCAGGGTTCAGTCCCTCATGAGGAGCATCAGGCCAGGGTACCAAGTGATTTAAACAGCACTGGGTTACAGCATGTTCCCATCAGCTCTGGGACGAGGTACCCCAAAGCACAATGTACTTGCTTGCAGGGGGGTGTCCACACACAGCAGCGGGAGCAGCATACAGGGCTTAACTGGGAGCAAGGACCCAAGGGAGCAGCTGTGCTAATGCATTGCGATTACTCCTTCCTGCCCAGAGATGACATTTGGTTTCACATCCCCAGAAGCTCTATAACCCTCTCAGTGATTCTCTGCCATTTAACAAATGTCACTGCATAAGCTCATCAATCTCCATCAGTATCAGGCCGGGACAGATATGGACAAATGCCACGGGCACAGGGAGTGACGCATGTCACCAAACACCTCACCAGCTCTGTGCCCTCCATCTCTTTTCAGTGCTAAAACCTCTGCTCTCTACCAAGCCCCCTGTGGCTGGGTCAGGCTGGTCACCCCACCACCCCACCCTAGCACTCAGCTTCTGAGCAGCTTCCCAACTGCATTTCCCCATTTTTACCAGCCGGTTCAAGCTCACCTTGAAGACCTGTCGCCTTTGTGTCGCTGAGTTTCAGGCCCTTCTTTTGACCTTGAGCGCGGGGACTCGCTTGCATCATGCTGACGGGAAGAAGGGAAAGCAGCTCGTCTGCGTGCCTTGCAAGACATGAGCCAGTGCACTGAGGATGCCACAGCTCCACACAGTCCTTTCGTACTCAGTTTATACACACAACTAACGACAGCCAGACATGTGCAAATGGCAGTATCGGGACTAGTTTCCAGTAAATGAAACTCAGCCATGTTGAGCCAAATGTAATCTTTCCTCCAAATATGAGATAGCGCTGGGGGACCCATCCCAAAGCTGGGGTTGGACACAGTCAGTGTGTAATGACTGTGCACATGGCTGGGCTGAGCACGAGGGACCGACGGCACACAACTGTGCTCCTGCAACCACTCAAACACAGTAAGGAGGCTGAAAACATCAGAGCTACCTCCAACTGGCCCCAAAATTAAACACACACACACACACACACACCCGCCTTTAGCACCTTACTGATGCAGAACGTGAAATCTGTTTCCTATCACCTTCCACACTGGCTAGCCAAGCCTTGGTAGTATTACTCATACAATTGAGTCCAAGCAGAGTGACAACTGGAGCAGTTGCATTGTCCTTATACCTGCGGTGCACAAACAGAACCAACTTCTGCTTTTATTGCTACAGCCAGGATTTCAGCAGAGGGGAAGGTCCTGCACCAGGAGGACTGACAGCGCTTGAGGGAGGCCACAAGGTGCTGTGACATCCAGCAACAACCTCCAAGGTCAGAGCCCAAGGCTTACCTTGTTTAAGGCTAAAGCCAAAATGCATCTAACCAAGGAGGTGGCTCCAAAAGGCTGGAGAAGCAGCTGAATAACAGGCAGCAAGACGCTTTGGATGAAAGAGTCTGCATCATTCCTTTTGCTCTCACCACACACCCTCACTTCCCTCTGGAAATGGGAACAGCATTATAGCACTTCGTTTGTGGCACTTCCTGAAGGTTGACATACCTTCCAGTCTTGATCATGCCTCCTCTTTTCAAAGGAAGACTTTTCTCTCTCCTTCCCTTTCTTGAAAGCTTTTTTCTCCTCTGCCATCAAGAGTCGGGCAATTTCCTAGAAGGGAAAAAATACAGAGAGAGTGTCAGACTCTTTTACTGCTCTTGGGGGGTTCGAGTTTTTTAAACCCTTTCCTATGGACAGCTGCTGAATGGGAAGGGTGCAAAGCCAGGATTTCATCCATCTGTGGTCAGAAATCAAGTGACAGGGCAGAATTAAGACTGACTACATGCAGCATGCCCAGTGGATCCTTGATTTGCCAACTGTGTTTGCAGAGCCTTTCTGCCCTTTATCCCTTTTCCTTCAATGGGGGGGTTCATCTCGCAGCATATACATGAAAATCAGCCAGGAGCAAACCTCACTGGAGCCCCGGAGCTTCCTCTGCATGGAGGGAAACGAACAACTAGAGGATCAGAGGGAACAAGTGGGGTTTAGCAGTTTCCAAGTAAAGGAATATTGCAAACATTTCACTTTTGCTCACCTCATCTTGGGCTACTTGAGCTGCCTTCTGATCTGCCTCGTTAGCCTAAAAAAAAAGGGGGGGAGGAGGAGTAAAAACAGAGACAAAAGAGTAACACCTCCCAACTATTCATACCCATTAACCTGCTGGGCAGGGCAAGCAGACGCCCATACAAATACGCTACCACCCTCTCCAAATATCCTTAGCTACCTCAATACTTACTTCACAGCCCAACACCAAACTGTCACTTCAGCTCTTCAGCTGAATTTTGCCCTCATCTATCTGCCAGGCCACACCACAATGCATTGCCCACCCTGCTGCCCTCTCTCTCAAAGATGGGCACTGGCCTGTGTCACTTCTGGGCTGACCACACTGACTACATGCCATCATTACCTGCCTGGAAACATTCATTTAGTATCCTTCTGCTTCAACCACTTAATTTTTGGGTGTTTATTTCAGCTGGATACCAGCTGTCACTCCATATGTGCGTGTACGAGAGACAAAGGTAATTACCAGAATGCACAGCAGCAAAAACCTTAGGTCTTTAAGTCACCACCATATATAAAAGGTTTACAGATTAGAAGCTGTCATTGCTGGCTACCTTAGTTCTCTTGAGTTGAGTAATGCATTCTCTCTACTTACCAGGAGCTCTTCCTCCTGCAGCTTCCGAGCAATCTCTGCATCAGACAGCTCCTGTTCCCTTCGGGGTGTATCATACATGGCTTGCTTAGTCCCCCTCAACTTAGTGCCTACAGAATTGTGAGAGAAAACAATCAATTCAACCGTTTCCCAAATGCTTTGGTAAGGAAATCCACACCATCTCCTCAGCCACCTGCAAAAGCCCCACTTGAGGGAACCAGAGACCATACCTGCCAGACAACTGGTTTGACAGTACCTTTAGCTAAGGTGCAGCATGGACCTTGGGGAGGTTTCTCTATGCATACAGAAATACCTGATACACCACATCTTTATGACAAATGCAGCTACGTGGCAGAAGAGGCCATGTCCCTCGAAGCAGTCTGTGCTGACACAGCAACGCTAGCAAAGGAATCGTAATTTTTCACACTCTGCACTGATACAGATACAATGGCAAAACTGGGCAGCAGAGAGCAGCCCAACATCTATTAAAAGTATGGCCTGTGAACACACCGCTGGAGCAGCGCCGGCTGCAAAAGTTGCCTGGGACAGCTCAAGGAGGTTTCAGACAATTTCTTCCTTGGGCTGACCCATGAATTTTACAATTCACAGTGAGAAAGCAGCCAAGTAAATATTTTTGAAGTTCATACAAGGTTCAGTTCTTGCTTGGAGTAGATTTTATTTGTTTGTTTATTTTAAAGATAAACTATCTCCAAGTGATTTACAGTGTTGCATTTTGAGAGTCTCTCCGTAGTCCACCAGGCCAAAGGAGTCTTGCTGTACCCCTGTTAGAAAATGCATTTCTGCTTTACGTCTGAAGTATACGAACACTCCAGATGTCTGTCTCTCTTCCACCTCAAACCCATAAAGTTTCACTCAAAACTTTCACGCCTCCAGCTACACCATTTACAGACGTGTTATAAATACCCGTTACATCTTACTGGGCCACCTATCAGTTTCCTTCCCATCTCCTAAGACCAAGGGAAAAACATGAAGTAACCAACTGACCTCAAAAAACTTTCTGTGCATCTACCAATAAACTACCATCCTATTCCACCAAGCACCGCAAAGACTTCAAACTGCAGAGGACCAGAGACCTCATGCATCGACCCCAAACAAACCCATGGAATAGGAAACCACATCTTCTACAGGTATTAAAAGGAGGCGCATAGGGTTTTCTGGTTTTGTTTGTTTGAATCAATGATCTTACGCAATTAACACCCCTTTTACAAACCATCTTAGTGTAAGAAGAAAACTTCAGCTCTGGCATGTTACGGTTAAGTCTATGACCTGGCCTTTCCCAGCACGCTTTGATCAATCCAAGCTGGGAAGAGCTGCAATCTCTGGCCAGCACAGAAACTCCGGCAAAAAAACCACCAGCTTGGTCAGAGTTAAATTATTCAGAGTGCTTCCAAGGTCAAGGTAAACACAGTTTTACCATACTGGAATAAACAACAGTGCGGCTGACAGGCTCCTGTACAGCATTACCTCTATGAGGAAAAGTAAGTTTCCAGGAATTGTTTGCTGGCCAGCCTGAGGCCGAGCTTTTTCACACACTGATGGGTGCCAGGCTTCATTTTCTCAGAAGACAACAATAAACGTTACTTCCGCATCACTTCTGCCCACACTCAGGGGAGGACGAAGCCCACCGTGACCACAGCCCACAGGAAGGGGATGTGAGCTTCTGGCTATTTTAATGCAATGTAGTGGGATACAATGTACATCTGAGTGACTCAGTATCAGGGCAAATCACAACCTACTGATTATATATAAAGACCTGATTAACACCTTCCACTTCCCCAAAGAAAACTTGTGCATGATGAAGACAAAGAATAATTCTCCCAGCATCTCCAGAAACAGACACAGATTATCATCCCCACCTTGTCCAAGAGAAGACCAGTTAGATGGCTTAAAGCACAAGTTTCCCATGCTGCGACAGACACAGATCCAAGCCTCTAAACTACTTTCAGTAAGAAACAGGTCATCCCCAGTGTGGTTTTAAAAGCAGAAAAATGGATCTGGGTCTTTAAAGCCCACCAGTCCCCAAGCATTACTAACAAGAGCTACACAGGTACATGTTTCCCAGAAAAATCCACTTGTACAGAATTTGACAGGAACCGCATCTTATAGAGCCCAGTCAGGCACCTGCTGCCACTACTGAACTTTGCCTGAAGTGAATTGACGATGTTGCCAGCAGGGTTTTCAACAGCAGTGGATGGAAATTGCTGGCTTGTTAGTGCTTAAGCAAACTGTCCTCACATACAGCCCTGCATCCCAAATCAACAAAATACAAGTGTAATCATAATATTTGGGTTTTTGTTAGGGTTTTTTTTCCTCCTGTGCAAGGAGACCACAGCACAAAATAGATCATGAAAACAAAAGCTGGTTGTTTGTTTTGGGGTTTTTTTTGTGTTTGTTTTTTTTCTTAAATGCAGGATACCAAGGGCACTATTTCCAACTAGACCTCCTTACTCATCCTCTCTGGTGCCAGGAAACGCGTCAGGAAACAAACAGAGCAAGAACATCGATGAGCAAGAAGAATCTCACTAAATAAGGGAGAAACCTGGGCAGGATTCACCATGTACACATTGCAGGTGGATATTGGGATAAGTTTCAAAGGAAACAACACAGATCTCAGACACGAGGATGGGGTATGCAAAGGTCCATCCCCACACGTACGTGCACCTTCCCCACCACTCGGTTACCTGAGTCTCGCTGGCAGTCTCCGACCTTGCCCTGGGTCACAGCGTGTGGGGAGGGGGAACGTCTCCTGTGTCCTGCCCTTCTGCAGTCTCTCTCCTCACCCCTCCTATGATCATCTCTAGAGTCAGCATCATGGAGCTTCTTATCACGCATCATCCTGTGTGACAAGTGGCCCTGATGATGAGATTTGTGGGGTTTGGGGTGCACCAGCTGGCTGCCACCCCAATGCCAGGTTTCCTGCTCAGCTTCCAGCTCTATCTCAAGAAGAGGAAGGTGCTTTTCTCTGCTTTGCCTTGTTGGCTTTCTGCTGTGCTGCACCTGGTCTGCGAGTTCATGCTCTGACTCCAGGTCAAGACTGAGAGGCCTCCAAGCCTTCTCCCTGCCGGCTGCTCTCCTCTCCCGCAGCTCCCAGCTATTGCTGTGGTCACAGGCGCCGTGCTCAGCCTCTCCTTCCAGATCAAGACTGGGATGTCTCCTGGACCTTCCCTGGCTGGCTGATTTCCACTCCTGCTGATGGCCATTGCTGGCCTCACTCGGTTGGGGAGACCTCCGATGACCCTCCAAGGTGGAATGCCAGTGTTCAGAGGCACCGTCAGACAACGGCGAGGGCGCTTGTCGGTGCTCTCTCTGCCGGTGCGTGCGCTTCTCACCACTGCGTGCCCTGTGAGGCTCAGAAACCTGCTCTCTGGGGTCGCCCCAGGGGTGCTCTGAGCAATGCAGGGGGACAAATGAGCGGGTTAGCGGTGCCGGGGTTAGCGGTGGTTCAGCGAGGCCAGGATCACAGCATGCAGACAAGGGAGCTTGATGCAAGAAGAAGCTGGAAACTCAGGCAAAACACGATGGGACCAGAAAGAAGAGTAACAGGGATATAATGCTTGGAGGATACAAGAGGACAGAGTGAAACGGCAGCCTGTCTAGCAGCAGGGCAACACAGGAGGTAACAGGGTTGGAGCAGAAAGCACAGGTCCAGCCCAAAAGTGTGTCCGAGCACCTCCTAAGACAAGCGCAAGCCAATGTGGAGATGAAGGACTTTTAATGATGCCAGTGGGGCTGAAAAAACAGCCAGGAGAGCAGCTCACCTCCTGGTGCCACATCAGTGCTGCAGGATAATGACACCACCAGAGAACGGCTTGCAAAAGAGGGCATGGGATGCAGGTGAGGCTGGGAGGCAACAGGGGGAGGCATAAGGCCAGGAAGGGCCAAGCAGAGGGTCAGGTTGGATCCCGGTTTAGGAGCACTGGTGCCTTGTCCTGGCTTCAGGCACAAGATTTTTCATCAGAAAAACACAGCCTCACCTAACAGGGGGAAGACCCACATAAAAGCAAAGAGAAAGACGAGTGGAATGGGATTTTATTTTTTTTTTTAAAGCAAGAATGAGATGACGTATAGCTGCAGTATCTAAGTATCTTCCACCACAGACTGTCACGTATCTCTTGCAGACCCAGAAGTTTCAGGGCCCACACTTATACATTGCCTGAAGAAAAATTTAGGCTCTGACTGCAGTGGGGGCTATGAGAACGTAAGGGCAGGAGAAGACTTCACAAACCCCAGGCTCCTGACCTCAGTAATACAGCTGGAAAAGCCCCTTACTCGGCAGCGTGGCGGGGTTGTTTCCCCCGTGCTTTCCAGAAAGCAGGTGGAAATTTTCTTTCCTTTTAGTTTCAGTAATAAACCTGACACAGCTATGAGGATGCAGCAGTCTGCCTGTACACAATCTGCTGATTGATTTATTTTCCAATCAACCTATTTGCTAAGAAAAATCATTGCGCTTAGTGAACTATTATCTCTACCGCAGCTTTTCAGAATGAAGATGTACTTCTGAAGAAAAAAAAAAATTTCCTTGAAGCAGAGGCTGATTTGAAATGGAACTATACAAAAAAACAACCAAAAAAACAGCCGTGTAAGACTTTCCTTCTCCTCTGCTGGGAGTTTTTTACAGTATCTAAAAATATTTAAAATAGATTTCACTGCACATGAACTACATTCTGTTTTAATAAATAACTCTGCCTTCCTTACAGTCATCCAGGTTTCAGAAAAAAAAAAAAAACCCAAACCAACAACCCACCAAAACTGAACATTCCCTTCAAGTCATTCTATTCAGATAAAACTTCTTCAGAGCCAGCAAAAATATACCCTACAGAAAAATCCACCCTGAAAACAATCCTGTCTTACTTTTATCCAGAATAGGTATATTTTTAAAAATCCAAGAACAGCAAAAGTAACCACAGCAGTTCCTGTTAATTGGTAGGTTTTTATGTTCTGTTTTAGATCATTCACATGATTTACAGAAACAAGTATCCAATAAAACTATCTAAGCGACTTACTGAACAACAGAGACTAGAGCCTGAAAGCAAGAGTCAGTTTTTGAACGATACTAACCAGGGTCTAAGAATTAATTCAATTTTGTCATTAAAGAAAGCTCAATAAATACAGCAGCAGAGAGCAGGAAATCATGACAGAGCGAAGCGTGGCCGCGCCGGGAAAGGATCGCTGCAGGTAACGCAACCATGCCAGACAGCCCGAGCAAAAGGTTTGCTTTTGGGGTATTTCAGGGCGCTTAACTCCTCATCAGGCACCAGCTCCTGCGGCACCTTCCGCAGGGGCCGTGTAAACACTCTTCAGTTCCTGGCGTTACTCTCTCAAGCAGCAAGTGATTGAGTGAATATAGAAATGTTTTTTATGGCACAGACACTTCTGGGAGAAGGAACTCTGCCTTTTTTCATGTTTATTTTTCCACTTTTTAAGAGCTCAGATTCCTCTGGAGCAACAGCTCTACTCCACATTCCTCCTGGATGTGGACAAATTTTTATTCAGTCTCAAGACAGACTAAAACCCAAACAAAGACAGGGCTTTTTTTGTTTAAGTTCACAAGTAATGAGGATGATACAAACCAAGCATGCTGAAGCCTAATCAAATGGTGCCCAAGTATTTAAGAGGTTCCAGATCAATGTACCAGATGATCCAGGCATCAAAATCCACTCCAGTCCTTTCTAGTTTTTAAGGAGTGGGGATCAAGTGCAGCACTACTATGAGTAGTCAGGCAAAGCACCTCCTACCTCACCTCCGACACTACAGATTATTGCAGGAAGAAAAATTAGACCTGCTCTCTAAATCCACACCACAGTCTCAGTTCAGAGAGTCACAGGCTTTTGTCAGCTGAATTCTGTTATAAAAATCCGTCCTGTCCTACCATCTCTGCATGGCAACACTATTAACTACATTGTATTTTTTCAGGGACTTGTCCCATTTAATCCTGAAAAACTGAAGTGTGGGTTGGCCATAAGACTCCAAGATCAAAGTCTTTCCCAGCTCCACACACACGGTCGGACTTGTGGTCATGAAATTTCCACTTGGTTACTGTTTTGCACTTTGCGCTTTGTGTTTTCTTGAACTTCTTCCCAATTGAAACTAAAATACTTTGTGTAAGTTCAAATAAAAGGCATTTAAAATTGCCAATAGCATGGATGTTAAAATGAGAAATAACAAGTTTGATCTTCATCTTCATAATCTGTTAATCAAAAGCAGCCCATCTCTTCCCCACCACGCTTTTTTAAAGAAAGAACACAAAACCCACCACCAGCACACAGCAAAGCCATCCCCAGATTGCTCCATAATTAAACACACCCTGACTCTCACCCAATCTAAGAGAGGTCTGCATTCAATCATAAAAGCCAACCAAGAGAAAGCAATACAGTGCTGTAGGTCATATCTTTTCCACAACATACAGTCCCAGACGATAATCACAGCAGAGACAGTCTGTGGAGGTGACCTTGTTATTCAGTAAGTCATTCAAAGCGGTTGTGCTAATTTTAATGCTTGGATACATACCTGCGAGGAGTTATTTTTGAAAGGCTGTTCCATGAACCAGCATTTATTCCTTTACACTCGTAGCTGTGCCAGCATCGCAGATGAGCACATGGAACTGTTTCTCTTTGAATACAAGTGTGGAACTGAGTCTGAATTTCTCCCCCGCACGCTTGTGGTGTTACACAGAAGTAACCGTGGCTTATCAGTACCATCAGCTACTGTCTTTTTCCACAAGCCCTTTCAAAACACACATGCATGGGTGTGCTTGCACATACACACAGCACACACCCTATCCCTGTCCTTGAGGCCATCTCTGAGGACATCAAAAGTTACAAAATTGTCTCTCCACTTTCTTTTTTTTAGTATTTCCTGAATCTAGAAGTAAGTCTGATCCTGACCCTGGAACCTGATGCAATGCTACCGTGCTGAATGCAGGACTGTAGGATAAGGGAAATCTCCTCAACAGAGTTGCCAGACCACTAGGTTCACCCATACTGCCATGATCTTGATCTTTTATCTAGCAGAAACGTACCTCCATTTTCTGCATAATAGCTATCTTCATAGGCTGTGTGTCCCTGGGATTCTGGGTAGTGCTTCTTGTGCTTTTTTTCTTCCTGCTGTTGCAGGAGGCGAGCGATGTCCTGCAGAGATGGAAGAAAACAGACATTACCTTTCCCCCCAGAAAACTATCTCCAGATTCTTTGATGTAAATTCTTTATTCAATTATAAAAATCCTGCTAGCTCAATTTTTCAAGGATTTGGAAGTCACACAAGCGCACACCCACTCACACGAGTGGGCTGGACCCCTCCTCCCCCCCCCGCCCCAAACTCCACCAGGGAAAGAAAAGCAGGCAAAGCCTGCCTCTGGTTGAAGGCACTTTGGACTGGAAGGAGTTCCCACAGCAAGTCATGAACTCCCTTCAAACCAGCTGTAATTTACAGGGACTGTAGGATGCCAGGCAGGGAAATGCATCAATTTGACAGACAGAGGCTGAAGGAAGAGAAAAATCGAAGGGACGTTAGGAAGGGAGGACTAGGCACAAGGCAGGAGCGCTGCAGGGACTGCAGCCGTTTATCTTCCATCGCAGTTTTGGTAGATATGCTATCAAAGAGAACAGCACTCCATTTTCCTAATTGGTTTTCTTTCAAGATGACTAATGGATCAACAAGGCCTAGCAACAGCAAACAGCCCCCTGAGGCTTGCTCATCTGGGGCCCAGGAGCTTGCAAGTCAGCGGAGCTAGTCTGAAACTAGGAAGAGAAGCTGGAAGATACCGCCAGGGCACGCTAGCCCTTTGGATGATATTCATTTAAGCCTCCCTAATCCTCAGGACTTCTAGAGAGCCATGCATGCCAAGTGTACATTGCAGGCAGGAAAGGCATCACTGAAATGCAAAGAGGTAACACCCTCCAGAGGAGAGCCAGCACTGGAGGACATAGGATGGGTGTTCACGTACAAACTATTATTTCAGGATTCAGATCAGATCCGTTCAGTAACCAGCTTTGTGGAGGACCTGGAGGTGACAACAGGCTCTTTACCAAAAAAAAAAAAAAAAAAGAAAATTCCTTCCCCTGACAAGGTTAACCTCTTCTAGCAAGTACTGTAAGTCTATAAATACACGGGCTTAAGCACATTATCTCCAGGACTGAGACAGCTCATGATTTGCAAATCCACACAAACCGTTTCTTACAAACTGGGCTTGTAAGCAGGTAGGCTTAGAGCTGCATTTAAAAACCCTGCGCACCAGAGTGGACCTGCCTCGAGCACAGCACTGGCAGAACACTGCCAGCTCTCTGGTATCAGTAGTGGCTATCAATCGTGTATGCCAGACAGCTCCTTCACCCTCATGGGTGACAAGTACAAGACTGGCCAAGCACATGGCCGGTATCAACGTAATACAGAATGTCCTGCAGGGTAAGTGTATAGGGGACTACAGAAGATGCTCTGATGTTTGTCACTCTGCCAGCTGCCAAAACCTCTGGGGCACTGCGCAGCCCCACAGGCATTGCTGAGGTGCTGCATCGGCATAGAAACCCACCCAAAAGAAACAAGGCTAGGGGGGACCCTGGAAGGTTCAGTTCAAGCTCTCCAGCAGTCCTGTTGCAAGGATGGTCAGTAGGTACCACACGCTGGTACCCGCTGCAGCCCAACTCAGTCCACAGCTATGTCTCAGCCACACTTTGGAACTTCCCACATACCAGCAGGAAGATAAAGAGTATTTATGGCTTCTCTGCATCACTTTGAGCCACATTCATTTGAAGGTTGCTCCCAACAGCACAGGATGCTCAGCATGCTGTTTGACAGGTTGCAGGGACCTGTTGTCAGACTGCTGACATACCAGCAGCTCTCTCCATAAAGGAGGAAGGAAAGGTGCAATTCCCACAACCGACACGAGTAGTATTGCATCCCCTTCACCGCCGCAATAAAAATGAGACAGATGGTCACATTTATAGCACAAATCCTTTAGCCAGAGTGTTCCTCCCACCCCCATTACAACAAGCTCCTTTTGGAAGCCCTTCTACATCTGCCTGGGCAGCCTTTCAGTACTTGCTTGGACTTAATGGTATGAGGTCTTGCACAAGCAAACTGATGCATTTGTTGGGTAAGGACAGATTCTTGTTTCAGGCTCTTCCAGGAAACACAGCCTTGTGTTTGAAGAGCTTGAGCTCTTCCTACAGAGAAAATGCCACTAGGTGCCTCTTGAGCATCTTAAGACTACTCAGACTTCTCAGGAAACTATCTGTAATAAAAAATGGGGCTCTGTAATCAATTCCAGGCTCACACAGGTGTTCCGACACTCTGCGACTTTCTTGAACACCCAGTCTGACAGGCTGACACAACAGTGATCAACAAGCCAAATCCTTTGAACACCATGGACAAGCCACACTGCCCACTCTCAAGCAACAGAACAATATTTTGCAATACCAAAAGGAATCTGCTAGCAAGAAACTGCATCAAGGTGTTCAGGCTAAATTGAAGATGAGAGAAGGTAATAGAGAAGCCATAGATGGATGGCTGGGCTAAGGGTCCGTCT